CTTCCATGTGGTACCATTTTCGTTGTTCTACTGTACTTTGTCGAGAAGTTACGAGTAGTGGCGCCACAAGGGGGATTCGGCCCGCACCCGGGTGACACCATTGCAGAGGTCAACCCCTCTACAAAGTCAGGCACTCGGTCATGGACCGAGAGCCCGACAGTGTCAGGAGAGAGGAGGGGACCCGGCGGCATACCTCATCCCGCCGGGTGAACGTCCCCTCCTCTCTCTGCCGGTGTCCATCACCAAGATGGCCGCCAGCAGGCGTCAATCAGATGGCTGCGCATGCGCGATGCTGTCATGCGTGCGATGATGATGACACGGCGGGGTGTCACCCAGTCTAGAGATGACACCCGGCCTTAGGACACCCCCTGGTTAAGAGGCACCATGATCATCAGACCCCTCCCTCCCTTGTAGGCAAATATACTCGCTTGTGTCTTTATTGTGAAATATCTTGAAAACTTTAGCCAACCAACCAGCACCTTTATCACCTGTTTTCTAATTCATCTAATCGAAATTTTCCAGAATTAACACATTTATCTTGGATGTCGATAATTTCCCAAAATTTGTAGACCAGTGTAGCCTGAGAACATTCAACGAAAAACAACCTTAGAACATTGAACCACAAAATGGCTTACAATAATAGCCTAATAACATTAAACCGGAGAAAATATTTTAAGTAAAATTCAATTTTGCCCCATTTGCACCACAGCCACAGCTTTATACTTTGTGCAAAACATCCCTGTAACTGAGGGCATGCTGGTTATTTACAGAAACGATGTACATGCACTTATACTGGACGTATAGCTTTTCAAATATTTTATAAATAGACACCTAAATATTACATTATGTGTTAGAGGTCTGTACATCAGATCAATAGGAGGGACAACTGAGGAGGAAAGAGGGGCAGAGGTTATGACCTGAGTATGTACTAAGTTCAAATATGGCTGCCCCCATGTATGTATATATATATATGATCACCAATAATGCATAAAAAGAAGGGTTTTAGACCATTATTACACATTGATAAAATTATTTACAAGATTAACTCTTTAATATATTTATCTGAAAAAAAATAATAGTTAAGAAGATGAAACATTTCTTTTAAAGACTTCCCTTGTTGCTCATGAGTGCACTGAAGGAAAAATCCCTTCTCCGTAATTAGTAGTAAGAATTCCCCTTAATATGTGCGGTTCAGTACTTCTATTACGTGTCTGGCAGATGGAAGTGAATGAGAGAACTGGAAGTACATCACAGTTTTCTGGAAATATTATATCTTCTGTAATTTCTGCATTAGATCAATACAATTCGTTACACTCTCCAGCTGTCATGCTTGTAGCAGACCTTATGCCAGTTTTTAGGGGGCATAGCTCAAATTGCCTAGCAACCGTCATGGAACGGGCACATCTTATGCTTTGTGTTTTACAGTTAAAATGGTAAATGCAGCGTCATATGAAACCATAGGCAATATTGTGCAAACCTCCCAGTGTCCTGAGAAAGAGGGATCCATTGAATGGAGGTGGAGGACACACCCCTCACACGCCCCCCTTTTAGAGGAACAGGAGCAATGCAGATATACAATATGATTGGTTAAACGTACAGAAGATCTTAACCTGCTACTTCTTTTGATTAGCAATTTAAAAAAGTAAATACCGTATATACTCGAGTATAAGCCGTCCCGAATATAAGCCGAGGTACCTAATTTTACCACAAAAAACTGGGAAAAAGTATTGACTCGAATATAAGCTGAGGGTGGGAAATGAGGCAGCTACTGGTAGATAGATACCAATAAAATTACATGAATATTTATTTAAAAGAAAAATAACCTAGCTCTGTAAGTGGAAAAGGGGGTACAGGGCTACATATCATGTACTACGGATCATTTAACCCATTCATGTTAGCAGAGGATCATTGTAAATGTATTGTCTGCACTGTATTAGCAGTATATACTACATATAGAGTATATACTGCTAATACAGTGCAGACAATACATTTACAATGATACTAACATGAATGTATTAAATGATCTGTATGTAGCCCTGTACTATGGATCATTTAACCCATTCATGTTAGCAGAGGATCATTGTAAATGTATTGTCTGCACTGTATTAGCAGTATATACTACATATAGAGTATATACTGCTAATACAGTGCAGACAATACATTTACAATGATACTAACATGAATGTATTAAATGATCTGTATGTAGCCCTGTACTATGGATCATTTAACCCATTCATGTTAGCAGAGGATCATTGTAAATGTATTGTCTGCACTGTATTAGCAGTATATACTACATATAGAGTATATACTGCTAATACAGTGCAGACAATACATTTACAATGATACTAACATGAATGTATTAAATGATCTGTATGTAGCCCTGTACTATGGATCATTTAACCCATTCATGTTAGCAGAGGATCATTGTAAATGTATTGTTGCAGGCACTCTATATGTCAATGTACTATATACTACTTATAGAATGCACTGAACAATAGATTTACAATTATCCTCTGCTAATATGAATGGGTTAAATGATCCGTAGTACATGATATGTAGCCCTGTACCCCCTTTTCCACTTACAGAGCTAGGTTATTTTTCTTTTAAATAAATATTCATGTAATTTTATTGGTATCTATCTACCAGTAGCTGCCTCATTTCCCACCCTCAGCTTATATTCGAGTCAATACTTTTTCCCAGTTTTTTGTGGTAAAATTAGGTACCTCGGCTTATATTCGGGACGGCTTATACTCGAGTATATACGGTACAATAATTTAGAGATTTGATGAAAGGTTTAGAGCAATATAACACTGTTTTCATAGTTAAAGCTGTACTCCAGCTTGGGGCCTACCCCCGATGAACTTTAACTACCCACCTCTATCTAATCAAATGGCTCAAATTCCTACCTGAATCCATAGTTGTATGACATGCAGGGTCCCGAGTCCTCTTTCTTCTGGACTCGGTGCTTCAGGTGCCCACATTGCTGCCTGGGAAGATAGACTCTTCAAATTGGCTGTTTGGTAGGGCCTCACAGATTCCCGAAGACTCCACCAGCAGTGTAATGACTTTATTCTGTCACCAGGACAAATTAAGAGGATGGATTTCCCCAGTTGAGACATAGATGGCAATTAAAAACCTGGTAGGATTTCTGAATCCTCACCGCTCTATCCAAAAAGAAAAAAATGTTTGGCTTAAAATACTTTTTAAATAATAAAGTTATTTATGGAGGTCTATACATCAGACCAAGAATAGGGACATATGAGGATAGAAGGACAGAGGTTTCTGTTTCCAAAGCAGGGACTATAACTCTGAGCTCTGGCCACGTGTGAAAACGTTATGTCTTCCAGCTAGCAAAGTTCAGCAGCTCTAAGGCTAATTTCTTATACATAAATTAAATTTAGAAAAATATACATTGTTAATTAAATAGTGTTTTACCCGTAGCACAAGCATGGAAGAAATAGCAGATCCACTTTGTGGGGGTTGGACGTAGACTTTACTCGGTTTTTATTAATTAAAAATTGTCTTGTGTCCTATTGGACACTCAAAAGAAATTTCTGAAGGTCTGGCACCCTTGGATGACATATGCTCATCCGGGCATTCCTTCCACCAGTATAACGACTCTCTGATCGCATTGCTTCACCTGGGGGGGGGCCATTTTGCTACCAGATATTTCCTTTTCTCCTTTACCCTGCTCTTTGTATCCTCTTCTCTAATACCTCTTCTTTGGCTTCCTTGCCTCTCTGATGTGCGCCCTAGCGCGCAGGTGCCTTCTGTTTTGATATTTCAATTGTTTACGTTATTTGCCCAGTTGAAATTGCGAGTGTCAATTACAAGATCTATGTATTGTACACCTAATAGAAACTGCTGTGTTGTCGTTGTCAAAATAAAAAAACAACTTTGATTTAAATAGTGTTTTACAAAGTAAAAATCGAGTTGCATAATTTAATTTGCTATCTTATAGGGAATGTCTAGAATGTTGTTTATGCCCTAACAGTATTCTGACAATTTTCACTTTTCCCTTGAATACCTCTTGAAAATTAGCATTTCACTTCCTGCCTAGGCAATACTTTTCTGTAGCCACATAGTCAGGGCCGTCCTTATAATGAAGCCTGAGGCAGTATCTCATTGGGTCATTTGATGGCTCTTAGCAACCTGGAACTTTGTGGCTGGCGTCCTGCCAAGCTCCTGGCAACCAATGACGTCAGTGAGCTGGACCCAGCCCACCCGCAAACGAGCACCCCCTGCGGGTCCGAGCATCTACCACCAGCACCCACCGCCCATTCCCGCCAGGCCTCAGGCAGCAAAAAGTGTTGGGACACCCCTGCTCACAGTTGTATATCTGTAGTGTGAGATTATCTAAGGCACTGCTGCGTCTGACTGCTATTCTGGAAATTTGGAGGGAAATTTGATAATGTCACTATTGTGCTGTTCTTTGTTTCCTTGTGCTAGAGAAGAAGCTGTACCTTAGGACCAGAATTTTAAAAATCTCCTTGCTATTGCTTCCTGCTTCTGCATCTTAGTATTGGTGCTTCTTCTACATCTTCTGTTGCTTCTTAAATATTCCCAAAACAGTCATCAAGGGGTATCTCTGATGTGAGGCAGCAAAGCTTGGTTCCTCTACTAAAATGGCTGCCTCCACACAGACGCAGTGCAGATCAAGGCATGGTAAGTTGGTAATGCGGAAACAATTGGTTGCAAGGAGCCCACAAGCACTACTGGTGATTAATACTTTGCCCTAGGATTGCCTTTTCTGATCGGTTTCCACAGTTTAGTTCCTATTTAAGATTTCATTCTTAATGCTTCATAGCCTCGGCTGAAGGCCACATTTGAAGCATATGGAAGACATTCCCACTGTGTACCACAGCTGTGGCCAAACAATGCTGGCCCACAGCCAAGGTGGTCAGTGGGAGATGGCAGATACAGAAATTGCTTGCATTCTAAAAATGATGTCTCCTTTTTCATTACTGCTCTGTGCTAACAACTTTATTTCAAACCTACAGCACGTAATGGCTGCCATTAATGCGGGAATAATACCTCTGGGAAACGGCTCCAGCCAGAACAGCCACTGGGACTTGGGGAGCTCGTTCTTCTTTGCTGGAACTGTTATAACTACAATAGGTAGGACCTGCTTTTGTGTTTATATATCTCTTTATTAAAATTGTTATTAAAACAACTCTGTCACCACAAACTAAACTGTCTAAAAGAAAGCTCCCTGCATAAGAAAAAAAAATGAATTACATTCATTGACCTCTCTGGTGGGCGGTGACTGGCATTCCCTTAATTAAAGAGCTGCAGAGGGTAAAATTCATCTTCTGAATCCAGCTCAGAGGGTGCAGGATGCCTTTGTCTACCATTGCTCACTGTGATTCTATCCAATGGTTCCTACATAACTATAGGACATAGTAGTGGCGTAAGAGCCAACCAATTGAACCATAGCACAAACCTGGGTACTCCGACATCCCATATACCTGGAAGTGTGTTCAATGTTGAAGGTTGCTCAGCTGCCGTAGCTCTTCAAGAGAGCAAAATTAGAAGTCACCTTCTACCAGAGAGGTAAGTATTATTCAAAAGCGAGGAGCTTTTTTTGGACTCTTTTTTTTTTGTGACAAGATAGTCACTTTGCAGAGTTTGTGCTGACAAAACCTATAAGTACACTCAATAGATCTCTATAGGCAAGAGATGTGCATTCCACTTATCAATGCAGGACTCTATTTACAATAATGGCACTGGTGGGCTTATTCCTGAGTTTGTTTTCATTTTATGTTCATCTCTGGACATTAATGGCTACATTTACAAAAGGGGGGCACAGGGGATTTTGAGAAGAGTCAGAAGGCTCTTGTTAGCAGGTCTGCACAGATTAAAAAAGCTCTGCATATAAAGCAGACTGTATGCTGCCTTCAACAGCACATTGTAACATTAGTTTATGCTACACAAGCACACGAGGCAGAACTTTTACAAAAGCGTTATAAACTAGTGCCTAGATGAGTCTGATGTCTAAATACAACCCCACATTAGAGCCCATTTTGCTTATATTTACAATTCCTTAGATTAATCAATGGCTACATTTGCATCCTGTTTTCTTTGTCACAATGATACATGATAGCACAATGCCAATTAAAGACAAAGGGGGTCCCAATGAGAGAGGAGCATAGCACAGAGGGCAGCCATGTGCTGGAGCTAAATGAGATTGCATGCAGCCTTTAAATCTCTGATAAAAAACACAGAGGAGGTTCACAAGGAGAGAGAAGAGAGCAGAGCGCTGAGACTAGACTTGAGCTACTTTACAGCTTCTGTTGTAAAATGTGAGGATTAATTGCTCAACAATGCCTGCAGTTGCAGAGGTTACCAATGGCTTATTTTAAAGCCTATTTTCTGCTTGTTCAGATTATGCAAAAACTTGAATAGCCTGAACACTGTGCTAGTTTAAAGCTAAATCAAGACATTCATTTAAAATAATGTGTGTAAACCAGTTGCAATTATATGTAAGCATGCATAAAATAAGTATTTGTATTTGAAACAGTATTAACCTTCTAAAATCCCCTGCATAGCAGTTCTGATATAGAGAGTTAGGAGCAGCACTAAAAGCAAGTCAGGGTTTTGATCTGTACTGTGTGCTACTGAATGGGCAAAGCATGGGTTTACTGTAAGGTCTAGTGTTAGGCAAACATTTTTTGGTGAGTTCATTGTAAACTTCTAAGATTTATGATTTAATTTTATGTGATTTTTTTTCCACTTCTATGAATTTGCCCAGTAAGAGAAATGTGTATTGTTGTGAAGGTCTACTAGGCCTTTTTTTTAAAATATGAAAATGTTATTTTGGGGTCATGAAACTAGTCCTCACTGGTTACGACCTTCTTAAAACCCGATTGAACTTTTACTTTAAATCAGCTAAATACATTCAAGTTGCAGGTGTAAAAGGTTGCAGTTAGTTTTCATTAGAAAACAGTCGCAGCTTTAGTAGAAAAGCCTGTCCCCTGCCCACATGCTGCAGAGAGAGGAGACAAAACATGGGCAGATGCACATGTATTGCAGAGATATAGTATTCCTTTTTGCCCAAACATACCCTACTTTAATATGTTACAAGCTAGAGAAAAGTTTATTTATGTGTGTCTTCACACTTGTTTCTTCCTGTGTGTGATGGTTTTGTTGCTATGGTTAGAGCGGTGCTGCTCTCTGCCATAACATTTCTCCTATTAAATGAAAAAGTGTACAATTTACCTTTGTTTGAGCACTTCATAGTCAAAGAACATCCACACTCAGAGTGTGACATTTTCAATTAAATAATACAGGGCAAGCTTCCAGAACCTGGCTGGAACATTGAAGTGTCAGGGCACACAGATGGGGAAAAGAGTCAATTAATAATTTACCAGGAGTGCAGAACATAACATCTTAACCACTAGTATGTGTTTTAAAAAATAAAAACAACATAAAGGCCTCTTTCTTGGACATGCCGCCTAACTGTCCCTGATTTTGAAGTGCTGTTCCTATATTTGAACCCAATCCCTCTGTCCTTCGTTACTCCTCAGATGTCCCTCTTCCTGGTCTAGGGTATACAGCTCTATGAAATAATGCACTATTTAACCACCAAAGGTGTAATACTGTACTAAACCTTTTATAAAATCTCTAATGTTATTGATATTGTTGTGTTGTGTTATTATGTGTGGGTTTAACCAGTTACTGCATTCATTCTTTATGCTATATGTAACTGAGGGCATGACAAAGGATGTGTCCCTTGCCTACATATCTTGTGCTGAGGGTGTCCCTCTTTGCCATCTCAGAAAGTTGGTGAGAAAAAAATCTGCATGTGGCCATTTTTATAAATTGCAGGCAACTGGAAATGTCTTCCCAGGGTGCTAAAACTGCAACTTTTGTAGTTTCCTGATGGTAGTGAGGGCTTGCCTCAACCATGCCTGCTTCCTGCACTTTTCTGTTGCCAATACTGAGGTCCCCAATCAGGGAGCAATGGACCAATACAGAGGTGTAGAAGTTGAGGGGATTGGGCTGGCCTTCAACTCTATCACATTTTGAAGCTTTCAGCTCACCCTAGGTTTAGAGTCTGACTGAATTTTTAGTTTCTATCACCTTAATACATTGCAAGTACATTAAAACAAAAGGTGTGCAAAATCTTACAGACTGTTTTCTATAGAAAGCAGCCATATAAGTAGAGAGTAGAGTAGAAAAGTCTGTCTCCTGCCAGCATGGTGTAGAGAAGAACCCTTGTTCTCTATGTGGATGTAGAAGCCTCTCTGTAAAGGTCTAGCTCGCCTGCTGCTCATTGCAGAGATATAGGTCTGACTCAGAATTGGGTAGTTCACTGCGATGTTCCATATATTTAAAATTGACAGTCCTCGTCCACAGTTAGAATTCCTCAATAAGACAAAATATAGAAAATGCATGTACACTGCTGACAGCTCCTATCTCAGGGGGTTGGATAAGGTATTAAATCCTGTCCGATTAATATTTCCCCCTTAAGAGCAGTCGATGGGGTAGGATATGTTGCTGTAGTAGACTCAGAAATATTTTCTTATTATCCCAAAAATGGCCAGATTAGGTAACTGTCTCTCCATATCTATGGCCAGCTTTTTTGTATAGGAAGATACGCTATTCTATTGTGTTCTATTTTATTCTGTTATATTCTATTGTATTCTATTCAATTCTATTCTTTGCTATGAAAGCATTAAATTACTTCTCCAGTAGACTGTAAGTGAATATAAAATGCCATCGCTGGCTATCAGAATTGCATGATTTACAGTGCAATTTTTGAAAAACTGGAACCAGTTCACCTACTTGCTAAAATATTTGTATACAGATCCTCAGCTGTCGTCGACAACTCGCATTCCACAACACTGCTCAGCAGGACAGCCGTTTCTGGAGAGCGACAGTGCTGGCCTGCTGGCAGCTGCTGTATTTCACCTTAGATCTAATGTTAATGTTCAGGATCAGCAGGGACACAGGATATTATTCTAAGGAAGGCTGCAGACACAGCCTTTAGGCCAGAACTCATTGCTTGGGCATGGAAGCCTGTTTTCCTACAAGTAATCAGATAATCTTGGTTGTTTCTGCAAATACGGCGCAAATAGCAACTGATGTGGGTTAATGAACTCTTTAAAGCACTGTTTGTCATTTGCTGAAGTTTATTTGCAGACTGAAATGTAGGTTTTCATAAAGTTCTTAAAGTGCACTCCAATAAAGTAAGCAGCTAAAATAACAAATGTTATAAACTGTATTTCCATTTGCTGTGGAGTCAGTCATTGGTTTTATCAGTGCCCCTCATGATGCTTTAGCCTGAATAATGTGAAACTATTCCCTCTCAGACTACACTACAAATATTTTTTCATGTCATAAACCCACCAAATGACACTTGAATGACATATGAGCACTAACTATATACCTCCTTTGAGTAACTAAACACCTCTCTTGAGTAAATGAACTCTTCCCCTGAGTAACTAATATCTCCCATGAGTAGTTAAACACCTCCCCAGTATTGGAAGCAGACTGTTAGAGCTGTTGTGTGTGAAATGTGTATCCTGAAAAGGAGATGAGAGGAAACTGAGGAATTTTGGAAAGCTTTTGTTCATCCTTGCACATGTCTAAATACATACTGTTGGCTGAAACAAATAGCTCAATTGAGCCAAATAGTATTTTTTAACAGGATTAGAGTACTTTTAAACTGTTATAATTGTCAAAAAACAGCACAAGGGTATTGTAAGTCAACATAGCAGAAGTGTGGACCAACAAAAGTTTATTTAGCCCAATTCCATAAACACTAGCAGAAAACAACAGCAATTATCAGCAACAACAGTCCAAACACCTTCTTACACTATATTATTATATGCTGTGTGAAATGAAATTCAGGCTGCTTCAATTTTTCTGTTGAGCTAAAGGGAAAATGCTTGTACTTTGTTCCAAGGCCAGAAACAAATTAGACTAAACTCCAAACTTCACTAGTTTGGGCAAACCCCTTTTTCCTTGCATATCAAAGATTATACACCGATCAGTCGCAACATTATGTTGCAAGAGTAAGGATTCGATTGACTTTCCGGCTTTGACAAGGACCAAATTGTAATGGCTAGATGACTGGGTCAGAGCAACTCCAAAACTACAGTTCTTGTGGGATG